AAAAAATCATAAAATAAAAAATATTGGAAAAAATTTTGTTCTTCTTATAATATTTTTGATTTTAGGAATCAATAGGATTATTAGTTTTTATTTTTTTATTATTTAAATTTTATTTTTTTCTTAACTAATTATTTAGTTTGGGCTTTAAAATGGGCTTTAGGGACATTATTGACAATTTGGTGTTAACCCTAATTTGTTCCCTATATATACATGTGTTGCCTTGTTGAAAAAAGTTTGATTTTAGGAATCAATAGGATTATTAGTTTTTATTTTTTTATTATTTAAATTTTATTTTTTCTTAACTAATTATTTAGTTTGGGCTTTAAAATGGGCTTTAGGGACATTATTGACAATTTGGTGTTAACCCTAATTTGTTCCCTATATATACATGTGTTGCCTTGTTGAAAAAAGGGGGAGAATGAAAAAAACCTAAGAGGAGTGAGTGTCGTTTACCGTTATTTCTTTTCTTTCATCTATTACTGTTGTTTCTTTTTCTTCATCGTTTACCGTTATTTCTTTTCCTTCATCTATTACTGTTGTTTCTTTTTCTTCATCTTTTACCGTTATTTTTTTTCTTCATCTATTACCGTTATTTCTTTTTCTTTATCTATTACTGTTACGTTTATATATTTATAATTTTTAAATTGTTAGAGTTTATATATATATAAGATTAATTTTTGATCGAATTATATCGATACGATGTTTGCACATTTGTGTGCATGACGCGTGACATTTGTGTTAGTTCGATCTGGTTGCGATGATCGCATTTTTGTGTGAGCAATAATACTGTTTTTTGCTTAATTTCTTTTTCTTTGCGATAAATTTTGTTTCGTCCGATTTAGATCTGGTTGCGCTGAGCGCATTTCTGCGTTAGCAAGGGTTATTTGGCACATTTAAAGTTCATTATTGCTTTATTATTATTATTATCATTATTTATTATTATTATTATTATTAGTATTATTATTATTATCATTATTTATTATTATTATCATTATTATTATTATTATTATTATTATTATTACTATTATTATTATTATTATCATTAATTTATTAAAACTTGTTATAATATAAAAATCTGTTTTTTAAAATAAATAACATTAACATCTTTTCCAAATTAATATGAAAACCTATTATTTTTAAGAAAACTTTTTTTTTTAGATAAATTTAAAATAATAACTAAAATCTTTTTTTTAAAATAATAGCTAGAACCGTTATTTATTTTATTTTATTATTGTTCAATTCAAATTTCATTATCATATTGTATTTGCTCCTCTCATGTAACCTCGCGAACTTAACAATCGCTCTTTAAATTCTGCCTTTAAATTTCTGCTTGCATGGTTTAAATTATGACATTATCTCTCTGTTTGCATGATTCAATTATCTCACGCGTTTACCATTATTTCTGTCACATTGCACACCTCTGAAGGTTAGGTCTAACTGTTTGGCCGCCGCGCCAATAGTCCGTAAAACTTCACACATTCAATTTCAAATCCTCAAAACTACAAACTACAAACCCTAATTTTCACAAATGCCTCGCCGCAGGCCAAATTACAATTTTACCCCTAGCATTAGGTCAAAGAGCCGCCGCGCTCATTTTAGGGTTTCCCGCCGTGGAATCCCTAACCTAACCCTAATTCACTTAACAATTCAACGTAGAGATTTGGAGTTTCTACACTCCACGTAAGCGTGTCCTTAAGATACGTTTATTCCCCTTGAGACCTTGACCACAGTCAAGAAGTCTCTAACCTCCCTTTTGAGGGGAACTACAATTACTCTGATTCCATTCCCGTAAGGATATGTAGGCACAAGATGCGATGTCTTGCCGAGTAAACTTAGAATTAACCCCTAGGTCTTTTTTAATTTTCAATCCTTTGTATATACCCTTAAGCAAAATAATTAATGAAATAAATAAAAAAAATAAACAAAAGGTTCCCGTAGAGTACTACGGAAGTTTAGGGTGCTAATACCTTCCCTAATCTTAACCAACCCCCGAACCTTAGATCTTTCCCCTTTAGGTTTTTCCTTTCTTTAACCTTTCCTTCGGATAAATCAAAGACCGGTTGTAAATGAATTAAGATTCAAGTTAATCAATAGCTTGACATCCAAATTTCACCGCAACACATATCAAGAATGTATGGAGTCGTTTTGTTTGTGAAGCATCATGATTGCATTCTTGTGTGTCTGATCCCGCGTAGGATCTACAAAAACCTCGTGTGCCCTTGTGGGGTGTGAGCGATGGTTTGTCTTTGATCCCTAGGAGGATCTGCAGAAACATCATGAGCCCTTGTGGGGTGTGAGCGATAGTTTATTTTGATTCCATGGAGAATCTGCAGAACGATTGTGTGCCCTTGTGGGGTGTGAGCAATCCTGAAATATCGTGTCCCCATTTGGGGTGTGAGCGATGGGTGAACATCGTAGGCCCGACGGGGAGTTACTTCGGTAACGAGCGATGGTTCCTTTGGTTCTTCAATTGAACCTGTTGAATGAGTTGGTACCGCATTTGCATCTGCATAGAGTCGTGAGTCGGTCTCTATGAGTGCATTATTATCTTCATATGATATATCAGTGTGATGAACATAACTGTATATGTTTAGTGGTGAATTATATATGTGTTGCGATATGTATATGATTGAATTGTGATGTATTGCAGTGAGAAATGTAGTATGTGTATTCTATGTTGGTGTATGTATATATAAATTATATGCATTGTTTGTTATGATAATGTTTCTCACCCTTCTGCTGTTTTATGATGCTCTATGAGGCATTGCAGAGTAGGTTGGTTGAAGGTCTTTAGTGAAGCGTGGCTTCATTCTTTTTGGTCGGTTGGCTCTGATATGTAGCACCGGGTAGTTAGGATCTCTTTTGGGTTCTTTTGTGATACATCTGTGTATGTATCTGCTGGAATATTTTGTAAACATGATTTATGACTTGAATTAAACTGTAGATGTATACGATGTTTATATGAATGAAGTGATTCAATATTTAGATGTTTCCGCTTTTATTCTAAATATTGATGTGTGGGTTTTAAGGACTAAATTCCTTTGTAGTGATTTACCCTTTGTTGCATATCTTTATGAGCAGGTGTTGTATGTGTTTTGAATTTTCTGGATAGTGTGACGTACCTCTTTTATACTATGTGTTAATTCATACTCTGATGTAAAATTTTTATTATTGTGCCTAAATGATTTAATTGCTTAATTGAGAGTATAGAAAGGGGGTGTTACAGTCATAGCTGACCATTTCGATCCAGGTAATAAACCCAACATCAAACAAATAAAAAATTTATCAAATTCTTATAATAAATGCTTATGTCAAAAATTCGAGATAACACATTTGGACGTTTCTTCTTCAATGACCATCTTGAACACATTTGGATGCATACACAGGTGAATCAAGAAAAAGTTTTTCCATCTTTCTTCATTTGTTCCTTTTGTGCATCCTTCTAAACATCATTTGTATTCGCTTCCAACGCATGTACTTCATCACTCACGATTTCAGCCATAACTTAAAATCTGAAAATGACTTTCATTTGCACAACACATCTCTCTTGGTTCACACCTTTGAAAATCAATCGATTTGCAAAAAATTGCGTTGATGTTGTGTTGCTGTTTGCCATTACCGATTGATTGAATCTCAATCGGACTTGATGATACCAATTTGTTGGAACAATCAGAATTTTCAAAAAGAATGAAGAAGAGGAGAGAGAACAGATAAATTATATTATGAAAAGGAATTTTATTATTATGAGATACATTTCTTTGATTTACATCATTATTTGTATAAATAGACAACCAAAACATAATTTTTTTAACTATCACATTCAAATTTGTCGAATACTTGTTCACACACTTTAACACACATATTATATTCGACTTAGTCAAACACGTCTTACCTTGATTGTATTGTCTAACACAACTATATATAACTTTTCTACTAAAATCCTCAATTTCATCTTCTAACAAATCCTTTATTTCATAAAAATACATATTAAACATTTAAATATTTAAATATTGATTGTCACATGAATAAATCCACAAATCTTTTGTTTCATAAAAGTACATATTAAATATTTAAATATTGATTGTGACATGAATAAATCCAAGTCGCGTTCATCCCCCTTTTGTCTATTAGCTCCATAGTACACTTTTTACCGAGTCGACATAAACCTCTCTCATATCAAACTTCTCTTGTGGACATGTTCAAAAGACACAACTTCTCACTAGGTCAGATTATTAAATAGCACTAGTATAAGTTTCATAGTTTTTTCTTCACGATACTTATCTCAATTCTTCTTTTACTAGTAGTACTAAGAATTAATGGTGAATATGCGATACACGACATAGTAATAATGAATGTTAATATACAAAAGTACACAGTTCATATATAAGTGAGTCTTTTGTCTTATACTCCATTGTCATTTACTTTTGCAGTGTTTTGAAGAGAGAAACAATGGTTTGGACCACGTGTGTGTTTTTGGAATTTGGATAACTTTAACCCTTATCTGTCTCTTTTCCAAGGCTCATATTCAAAGACGTACGTTAATATCGTTGAACAATGACGATGATTTAGTATGGGCCACTTATTATGCATACGTGTTATTTCGTATATACCTCATCTCTTCATACTCCTTCCTAAACAAAAATAGACCAAGTCCATCCATATAGGACTATGCTAAAAATATGATCTTTTTTTCAATAAACAAGATTGAACTTTCTATATAAATTTTACTACCTAAAAAAACTATACTACATGCCATAAAAAGCTTTCAATATTTTTTAATTTGTGTAAAAAGATAAAATATGACATTTATTATCATTGTACGGATAGAGTATAATAGCAAATGACGTGTTATAATCGAAGAGTTGTAGTATTCAATAGAAAGTAATGAATTAGCTTTATCATAAAGTACGACGAAAGCAATATAAATAAATGTTGTAATAAAGACTTATGAGCATTGAAAACTATTGAGAGAGAGAGAGAGGTTTCATCTCATTTTATCAATGGCGTCAAAGAAGAGCTTTCTCACAAATCAAAGTTACATTTTTCCAAATATCACCAAAAAATCCTCTGAAGAAGAAGGTATGTTTGAGTTTGATGAAGCTGAGTTATATGACTCTTGCACCCCTCCCAAGAAAGGTGGTGGTAATAGCATTTCCGGTTTGAAGAAACCATCAAGGAAGAATATCGATGGTAGAGTAAGCCCAATAGGTTCAGCTTCATTGCCAGTGAGTATACCTAACTGGCCAAACATCTTGGAGGAGAAAAAGAAGAAGAAGCAGCATCGAAAATGGGAGAGTGACGATGATGATGATGATGAAGATAGAGTGCCACCTCATGAGTATCTAGCTAGGACTAGAGGTGCTTCTCTTTCTGTGCATGAAGGGTTTGGGAGGACTCTCAAAGGTAGGGATTTGTGTAGTGTTAGGAATGCTATTTGGAAGAGAGTTGGTTTTGAAGATTAATTATTTTAATTAATCATATTTATGTATCCAAGTCCACAAGTTTTTTTGGGGGGGAAGGAGGATTTGGTTTAGGTGAAAATTAGTTACAAGATTAGTGTTATCTATTTAGTTAATTAGGTATTTATGTATGAAAATGAGATCTATATGTAATGTAAGCTATATGGTAGGAAATGAGTTCTCATTTTGGGGCCTAACATTTTTGAAGGGCTACTCATATATGCTTGTAATGAATGATGGATGAATGAACTCTTTGAATTTTTTTTTCTATCATGAATGACTAGTGGTTCTTAATTAATTAATGGATAGGGTTGAATTAAGAGAATGAGAAGGAATCGATTAAGCTAGAAGAGGGAAGGGGAAAGTTGAAAGAAACTAATAGAGTGAATTATTTATTTATTCATGTCATGAAAAAGTGGTTGGTGATTTAATGTACCAGTTGGTAAGAAATATACAGCTTATCTACAAATACAAAATAACTTTGACTTACATTCATGTATTCACACATATTTAATAAAAAAAAGATCCCTTTTTATTTACAAATTTTCACATTGAAGCCTCAGAGTTATCTAAGATAGTTCAAATGATAGTTCAACTAAAATTAAATGTTAAATACAATATTTTTATTTTAAAACAATTTAAAACTACTATAAAATCTTTATGGTAGTAATAGTTTTGTGAGGGTTGATAAGTGGTTTTTCTTATCAAGAGTGAATTTGTACACTCTTTTTATTAAATGGTATGTGGGTGGGATAGTAAAAGAAAAAAGCGGAAAGATGGGTGTTGGCTATTTATTCTATATGGATTTGGAGTTTTTGATTAAAAGTGAGTGTTATTTTAACATGAAATATTCGTGGTATTGGAATCAGTGTTTTAAAAACCAGATCAGACCGGCCGGTTGGACCGAGAACCGGCCTGGTTTACTAGTTCGATCGTCTTTGTCATCAACTCGGTAAAAACCGAGGGAACTCGGATTGGACCGGGAAAAACCGGTGTTGGACCGGTTCTAATGCATTTTTTATTTTTTAATTAAAATTTAAATGCAAAAGTTATAAAAATTAAAATAAAAAAACAAGTTCCAGGTCTTTCTCCACCACCGCGCCTTCGTCTTTCTTTCTCCACCACCGCACAAGTTCGTTCTCTCCGCCGCAATATACCAACGACTCGCCATTCTGGTTTCTGTATCGTTTTAAATTTTCAGGTTCAATGTTCCTCTCTGTTTTCATTTAACTTTGTTCTGTTGAAATTAGGGTTCAATGCTCCTATCTGTTTTCATTAAATTGTTGAAGGTTAAATTAGGGTTCAATGCTCATCTACATGTTTGATATTAATCTTCTAATGAAATTGTTCTGTTGAATTGATTTCGTATGAACCCATAAAGGGTTTTACGTTATATGCCCACGTGTTTTCTAACAAGTCAGTTCACTCTAACATTTACCATTGTGACTCAAGGTAGGTGAATGAAGGAGAGAAGATTAAAACTTTGTTACTGGAAACTGGGAACGTGTTGTTGTTATTACTATTTGCGCCTATTAACTGTTTGATGAAATGTCTCTGTGAATTTTGGTATCAGAAATTGTGCTTAACTTTAAATTGTGTATGTTTAAGGATATTGGGTTGAGTTTAGCTTAATGATTCTCTGGATTGAAAACTAAATATACGAAACTGGGCAACTGCATGTAATCAATCTTCCAACAATGGAATATTCTATGCTCGATTAAATGTCCTCTGGATTTAAATAACAAGTTATTTACATAGTATTTTTCATAATTGGATTGTCAGGATGAACTCTTAGATCTGAGGGATTCAGTTAGAGCTTGAATGGTGAGTATGAAACTAACTCAGTTAGTTGAAGTTTATTGAGTTCAGTTGGACTTGGAATTTTTGTTAGTAAATTGTTATAGTTTGAAGTTAGCACTGTTGTTCAAATTTGGACTTGGTTATATGAATAAATTGTAAGGTTATAGTGAATGAAATTAGTTTGAATTAAGTTAGCATTGTTATCAAAATGGCTTAATATGGAAATTAATTATGTAGTGAAAACAATTAGTTGAATTGAAGTGTCAGGGTGAGTCATGTTGTATTGAATCAAATTAGCACTGTCACGAAACTGAAATTAGTAGGTTTGTTATCTCTTGCATTGCTTATTGAGCCACCATGATGCTGATTGGAGTGTTATGAGACATATGAACTACCTGTTATATTACTGTTAGGAGTTTATTTGAACATGAGTTTAGTGACAATTGTTGTGGAGAATTAGCTTGAAGCAAACAGTTAGAGAATTAAGTTATGTTTCCATTTAATTATTGTTGTGTTAATGTGTTAGGATGACATTGCTATGACCTCTGAATTGCTAGCATGCTATGAATGAGTTTTGTTATGGAAGTTTGTGTTAGTCATGGAACTCAAACTGCTATGAGTGTGTATGTTTGGAATTCTGTTATGCAGAAAACCTGTATATGGATTTGCCAGGTATGATAAATGGATGCATTGTCATGTGTGAATATGTTAAAAACATTGTTATATTATAGGCCTAGAGTGTATTTTAATGTTGTGCATTTTACATTTCACTTTGTTCTACATGCTGCAATAAGTAATGATTCTAAGTAAAGATTCTAATTGCTTTTCTATAAAAAAATATATTCTATTTTTCTCAGTAGTTCTATCATAGTAGTTCTATGATAAGATGTTTAATGCTAATAAAATCTTGAACTGTTTTGATGCTAATAAGATGATTTGATGGAAAATCTTGAACTGTTTTGATGGAAAATCTTGAAATGTTTAATGCTAATACGTGAGACTAAAGTGTATTTTAATGTAGCAATTTTGAACTGTTTTACAGGAAAATGGCATCTTCTGAAACACCATCATCACAACCACCATCACAAGAAGCGTCTTCAACTCCTAATTTAGTTCAACATAATGTTAGACAAAAAACTGATATAGCTTGGGCACATTGTACTAAAAGTCCTGATGGAAAAAATCTTGTTTGTATCTACTGTCATAAAGCGTTTGGTGGAGGTGGAATTCATAGGGTAAAGCAACACTTGACTGGAGTAGTAGGAAATGTTGAAATTTATAAGTCAGTTCCTACAGAAATTCGTTTTCGGATGAATCAATATCTTAATGAGCGGAGCAAGAAAAGAAAAACTCCAGATGTGGATGAAAGTGAGTCATTTTCTACAGAGGGGGTGAATTTCAAATGCAAATGCACCCACGAATTGGTGCATCTAAAAAGAATGATGCTCGCATTGGTATTTATTTTTTACCCAGAATAACTCCAGGAGCTCAACCTACTTTAAAAAGTATGACGCAAAGTAAAGAAGTGGTAGAAAAGTGTGATCTTGCTATTGCAAAGTGGTTTATTGATGCGTCTATTCCTTTCAATGCTGTAAATTCGCCTTATTTTCAACCAGCAGTTGATGCTCTTTGTTGCATGGGTGTTGGATACAAAGTTCCTACTATGCATGCCCTTCGTGGTAATTTTTTAAATAAGTGGGTTGATGACGTGAAGATACAGCTAGAGCAATATCGTTCTATTTGGAAGGATACAGGTTGTACTCTTATGGCAGATGGGTGGACAGATTGTTGTAGAAGAACTCTTATCAACTTTTTAGTTTATTGCCCCAAAAGAACTTTTTCATAAAGTCTGTTGATGCCTCTGGTGCTTCTAAAACTGCAGACACATTGTTTAAGCTTTTCAAGGAAGTAGTGTTGTATGTTAGCCCAGAAAACGTTGTTCAAATCGTTACAGATAATGCTGCAAATTATGTTGCTGCTGGAAAGTTATTGGAAAAGGAGTTTCCTAAGTTGTATTAGTCTCCTTGTGCAGCACACTGTATTAATTTGATGTTGCAAGACATGGGGAAATTAGAGGAAGTAAGTGGGGCAGTGTCACGTGCTTCAAAAATTACCAAATACATATATAATCCATCTTGTAGATTCAGTCAAGAATATGAAAAACACAAGTCTACTACCCAAGGTCTTTTGGATGTCATTAAAAAGTATGCTTATGATAGTAAGGACTTGAGAACTAAATTAACTGTTGAGATGAGTTTATTCAAAAATTGTGAAGGTAGTTTTGGAAGGACAACGGTCGTAGAAAATCGAGATGAAGTTTTTCCAGGTAAAATTAGATGATAAACTTTATGCATTTTATTATAATTTCAATATGAATTTTAAAATGTTTTCTAATATTTTCACATGCACTATTCTAGATCAATGATGGGAAACTTATGGAACCGAAGCGCCCAATTTGCAAAAGTTGGCTATTCAGATTTTAAGCCAAACTTGTAGTGTATCTGGTTGTGAACGAAATTAGAGTGTATTTTCATTCAAAAAAAGAAATAGGTTGGAGCATCAAAAGCTTAATGATCTTGTCTTTGTTCGTTACAACCTACGACTACAAAACAGGTATTGCACTTATTATGCTTTATATGCTATTGCTTATATACTTATGTTGTTTATGACTATGAATGATGAAAATTGGAAACAACTATATGTTGTTTGCTTATGATATTGTTTATAATACTAGCTACTGCTTGATATGTAGAAACTTATTAATTTGTTTTTCTATCTCAAAAAATAGTACTGAGATTGATTTGGAAACATTTAATTAGGAATTTGAGCATATGCTTTGGTTGTTGCTATTGCTTAATATGTTGCATTTTAGTACAATGTTAATATATATTTTATATTATTAATTTTTAAGCTAGTTAAGTTAGTTATATAATACTAGTTTTTAAGAATATTAATGAGTTTTATGTTTGACATTATCGTTAATGATTATTATAGAAACAAGAAGAAACAAAATTATGATCCTATCAATTTTGAAATACTTGGTGATCATTCTGATTGGGTGTTGGAGGATTCACCACCATTCTTAACCATTGAGGAGGTGGAAGCACTACGCAAAGATCTTGCTAGTATGACAATTCAACCTATGTCAAATGATATTGGTATGATATTAGTTATTCTGATAACAATTTTGTTACTTTAATTTA